GGGGGGGGCAACAGCGGGAGGGCTCCTAGTGTCCTGGCTCCACTGGTGGACCTCCTGAGGGCACCTGGTATTTTTGGCCACTGTGTGGCACAGAGTCTTGGACTGGATGGGCCTGATCCAACATTGGCTTCTCTTATGTTCTTATGCTCTTATGTTCTTAATGATTCAAGCCCTGACCTGGATGGCCCAGGCTAACTGACAGATCTCAGGAGCTAAACAGGGTTTGCCCTTGTTAGTATTTGGATGGGAGACCAACAAGGAAGTCCAGGTATTGCTACACAGAGGCAGACAATAGCAAACTACCTCTGAACGTCTCCTGCCTAGTCAGCCCTACAAGGTTGCCATAACTTGGCTGTGTCCTGACAGCCCTTTCAACCGCCAGTTACTCATATCAGTTTTGTATTCGAACGTTCATTGAACTTTGAGAATGCTTCTGGCTGGGTGACCTTGGGCAAGCCGTAGTTCTGATAAGAGCTGTTCTTGAAAAAGAGCAGTTTCTGTCAAGAGCTCTCTCAGCCCCGCCTACCTCACAGGGTGTCTGTTGTGGGGAGGGGAAGGGAAAGGAGTTTGTAAGCCGCTCTGAGACTCCTTTGGGTAGGGAAGGGCGGGGTATAAATCCAATCTCTTCTTCTTTTATCTCACAGGGTGTCTGTTGTGGGGAGGGGAAGGGAAAGGAGTTTGTGAGCCGCTCTGAGACACCTTTGGGTTGTGAAGGGCAGGGTATAAATCCAATCTCTTCTCTTCTTCTTCTTCTTTAAAACTCTTCGCCTGCCTCTTGGAGACTAACTATGGATCAACGAAAACGGACCCGGCGCGCCCTTGCTGTCAGCCAAAAGTCATCTGTTAGAATACTGGGAAGATAAATGTCCATGTCCGCTATCCAATGGATTGAGAACCTTACAACCTTATCAACACTTGGTCACATGGCACATAGGTGACAGTTGTGCAAGGACATTTTTAGATGTCTGGCAACCTTTTACAGAAGCTTGTGCATGTCGTCTTGCTACCGTTGTTATATTTTTTATTTCTTTCGGTTTAAGGGTTTGAATTACATATATCTTTTTAAATCAAGCCCTCAAACAGAAAGAAATGCAAAAATATATTTTTAAAAATCCCTGTCTTAATCTGCATTATTCTCAGGACACACCTGACACTTCCCAGGGGGCTGTACATTATAGAGGGAAATCAGCACTCTCTGTGTACCCCTGACCAGGGGTCATTTCCTGCAGGAGCGCACAGGAGCGGAGCTCCGGCAGTAAAGAGCCCAGGGGGCGGGCACATGCAACAAGCCCCACCCCCTGCTCCCAGCAGCCCTCAGTCAGAGCAAGAAGCAGCCAGGTGAGTTGCAGAGCTCACCCCGGCCCCCCAGTCCAAAACAGCCCAGTGGCACCTTTAAGACCAAGTTTTATTCAGGTACAAGCTCTCCCTCCTCTGCGAGGGCAGATCTGCACGTTCCCCACCACCACCAATAGCCAGCAATCCAAAACAGTCCAGTGGAGCCTGAGCGGTGGGTGTTGCCTTCTGCCACACTCCCGGTGATGTCATGGGGTGTGGCACATGCAGATAAGTTATGCTAATGCGCTCCTGCACCTCTTTTTCTACGAAATGACCCCTGCCCCTGATGCCTCCCTTTCCCATCTAACCGAGGCCTTCTGCAGACAAGCTATGTGCTGGACCCTCCGAGCTCCACCTCCTCCCCAGAACATGCAAAGCCGTTTTATACAGGTTATTGACCCAGTCAGACCTGCCCACTTAGTCCAGCAGTCCCTTTCTATGTGCCTTTCTGCACTGACAGCTCGCTCTGGAGAATCCGAGGAGTCAACCCACCTTCCCTCCCGCCGTGATTCTGCAAACAAGAAAGGGAAGAGAGGGGGAAATCCAGGCCCACAACATGCAAGACTGACACATTTGGGAGCAGGGAATCCCCTAGTCCAGGGGTGGCGAACCTATGGCACCGGTGTCAGAGGTGGCACCCAGAGCCCTCTCTGTGGGCACACGTGCCATCGCCCCAGCCAGGCCCAGACCATCATTAAAAGTATTCTCTGCCAAATAATTTTAAGTAAATGAAAGCATTTGGGATTGCTTTCCTTACTTTGTTTGGATCATCTTAAATTAATGTATGGGTTGTTAACCTCAGTATTCAGGTTAAATTGCCATGTTGGCAGTTTGCGATAAATAAGTGGGTTTTGGGTCGCAGTTTGGGCACTCGGTCTCTAAAAGGTTCGCCATCACTGCCCTAGTCCTTGATATTTACTGATTCCTTCTTAGGCTCTCTATGGCTTTTTTAAAGTTTGCCTGAGCGGGAAGACACGTCCTCGTTTGTCTTCAGAGAAGGAGGGAAAGAAAACAGGATGGGGAGGGAGTGTCAATGTAAAGAGAGAGAGGCGGAAATGGGGGAGGGGCAGTGGGCAGCACTTAAATACCCACAGGAACAATTCTACTTTAGAAAGGATTAGCGATTTGAAAGCGGATGAGAACAAAGAATTGCAGCAAAAGGAGTTTCTGGAACTGCGGGGCAACAGTGTGCTGGGAGCAGTCCAAATGCAGATTCCTGTAAAACAAATGCAGAAACAAGAGAGAGCCCCTGAAAGCTGGAGGGAATGCAGAATGGAAGAATAGGATGTGCTTAGAAACCAAGGCAAATTACGGGTGCAGAAAGGGCCAAGTCTCTGGTCTTCCTTGTTTTCGCTTCCCCAAAAGTCTTGTTCCTTGCTAACTGCAGGGGTTGAACTTGGGAACAGTCTACCTACAAAGGGCATGGCCTTCCCTGCCACTCCTCTGACGAGCAGCTTCCGAGGAAGCCCAAGCATTCCCCAGGACTTGGTATGGAAACCCTACAAGAGAGACGGAAAATGTCATGCTCTGCCCTCTGTAAAACTTGATGCTGAACGCCCTCTGCTGGAAGAAATCAGAATTTTCGCTGGGGGAGGGAACTCTCCCGTTTCACGTTGCCAATGACAGCCCATCACTATTTTTCCCAGAACTGCTAAGCCACACGGACTCCCTCGACCTTCTGTCACAGTGTTGATTTTGCAGGCATGGAGAGAAAAAGGGTGGAGAGGCCATAGGTCACAAGTGGCATTTTGTAACCCACCGAGGAAGGTAAACGTTAACCTGAGTGCCATGCAAAAATCCGTCAAGCACCAGCATCTGAACCCAGGCTTTTACAAGAGACTACTGAAAGAAGGGACGGCGGTGGATGCTTTGGGAGAGAGAGAAAAACAGGGCCGAGGAGGGTCCAGGCCAGCACCTTGCTCCTACAGTGGCTGGCCAGATGCCCTGGAAGGCACAGGGTAGGGCTGCCAAGTCCACCGAGGGGGGGGGGGTTGCCCACCCAAAGGGCCCCAAATCCACTGGCCTGGATC